TTAAAATACATTGAAAAACGTATAGAAAAAACAACATTCCACATATATACAATATGGGATATGGGTGATTTTTAATGTTTTCTGCGATGTGCCTGGGCCTGTGTATCAGCAGAGTTTTTGGCCGCAAAACATCGGAAATTGCTTTGAAGTGAAAGGACACGCTCACGTAACAAGAAGTTTGGAGCTAGGAGGTTCCCATGGCAAATTAATTCAGGGGCTCAGTGAAATCATCAAAGGTCTGGGTTCTTGTCCGACCGTGGATTGCGGCTGTGTAGACAGTCCTTGCTCTTAGGAGAGACGAGCTGAAAGACTTGGGGTGAACTGTCTTTGGACATCTGCAGTGTACTCTCCAATGAATCCGTGAGAAAGGTAAGTGTAAAGAACGATTCAGCAAATTGGGCAAATGTCAACAACGGGGAATCCAGGTGAAGGGCATATGGATGTTCATTTGCTGTTCTTACACCTTTCCTGTTGGTTTGAAATGTTTCTGAATTAAAAGTTGGAGAATGTGAGATAATAAATGTATAATTGGTCTCTGACCCCAGTTAGCGGCAGAGTTCCTAAAACCCTTGTAATTTCCTAAGCAATAGAGATGCTAAAAGCATCTTTTGTCTTCATATGTGGTCTATGACCCCAATTCCTGACACAGAGCCCCTAAATCCCTTGGGATTTCCTGGGCGATAGGAATATCTTTTTTTGGTTTGTTTTTATTTTAGAGAGGGAGGAAGGGAAAGGGAGAGAGAGCTACCTCGCTGGGTTGCCTCCCATGGGTATGTGCCCTGACCTGGAATCGAACCCATGACTTTCCGGTGCACGGGACGAGGCTTTAACAGAGCCACACCGGCCAGGGCAGGAAGATCTTTTGTTCTCATGAGGTGACTCTGGGTGGGCTCCTGGATGGCTTCAGGGCTGGTCACCAGAAATACCAAGCCATAATTAGAAGCTTGGGCCTCTCAGCCCCACCCCTACCCCCATCCCTACCCTCCAGGGAGGGGAGAGGGGCTGGAGCTTGAGTTAGCAATCAATCTCGATTACTCGATGAAACTCCACAAAACTCCCCAAAGTGCAGGGTGTGGCGAGCTTCTGGATTGGTGGGCACACCACATGCTCGAGGGTGGCAGCTGCTGGGCCTCCACCTGCGTATCTCTTCATCTAGCTGTTCATCTGTGTCCTTCATCATACCCTTTATCACATAATAAACCGGCACACATAAGGGTTGCCCTGAGTTCTCCAAACCATTAGGGCAGTGGTTCTCAACCTGTAGGTCGCGACCCCTTTGGGGGTCGAACGACCCTTTCACAGGGGTCGCCTAAGACCATCCTGCATATCAGATATTTACATTATGATTCATAACAGTAGCAACATTACAGTTATGAAGTAGCAATGAAAATAATTTCATGGTTGGGGGTCACAACATGAGGAACTGTATTAAAGGGCCAGAAGGTTGAGAACCACTGCATTATGGCAAAATATCCAACCTGAGAAAGGGATCGTGGGAACGCCCCATGTATAGCCAGTTGATCAGAAGGACAGGCGGCACCCTGGGACTTGTGACTGGCATCGGAAGTGGGGAAGTCTTGTGGGATGGACCCCTTAGCCCAGGGGTCCTCAAACTACAGCCCGTGGGCCACATGCAAATGCAAATATTGTATTTGTTCCCGTTTTGTCTTTTTACTTCAAAATAAGATATGTGCAGTGTGCATAGGAATTTGTTCATAGTTTTTTTTTTAAACTATAGTCCGGCCCTCCAACGGTCTGAGGGACAGTGAACTGGCCCTGTTTAAAAAGTTTGAGGACCCCTGCCTTAGCCTGTGGGTTCTGCACACACTCTGGGTTGTGTCAGAATTGAATTAAGATGTAGGACACCCCGTTGGTGTCCGCACAAAACAGGAGAATTGCTTGATGTCGAAAACCCACACATGTGGTGTCAGAAGCATTCTGTGGGTAGAGGGCACCGTTTTCCCTTTCAGTTGGCGTCAGAGAAGTGGGATTTGCTAGAACGGCCCTGGCTCATGGAAACGTGGCTTGGGAAGGGAACGGAAGAGAGGGCGGGCATGAGGAACCCTCGACTCCTGGGGGCCACGTCCTCCGTCCCCATGGTGCGGGCCAGTAGCTGTGTGCCAGCTGCTGTGAACGTTACCAGTGGGATTTAGAGATGACTCGAACTCTCGGGGAGCCGGTTTACTGGATGCTTAAGGAAACAGAGCCCTGACCGGTGTGGCTCAGTAGATAAAGCATCGGCCTGCGGACTGAAAGGTCCCAGGTTCGATTCCGGTCAAGGGCATGTACCTTGGTTGTGGGCACATTCCCAGTAGGAGGTGTGCAGGAGGCAGATGATCAATGATTCTAATTATTGATGTTTCTATCTCTCTCTCCCTCTCCCTTCCTCTCTGTAAAAAATTCAATAAAATATTTTTTAAAAAAGGAAATAGGAAAATGAAACCCACAAAAAAACAAGCAAAATACATAGTCCCTTGGTTATGGTTATTGGTAACAGCTAAAATGAAATTGAGTGGTGGGTGGAATCTTGATTTCAGAATCTGAGTTTGGGCCACTAGCCTCAAAAGTCACCCCCAAAGGGAAAAATTACTCAGGGAGAACAGAAAGGACCTCTAGGACAGGGGTGGGGAACCTTTTTTCTGCCAAGGGCCATTTGGATATTTATAACAGTATTTGTGGGCCATACAAAATCATCAACTTAAAAATTAGCCTGCTACATTTGGTTAAACATTTCATTAACTCACCCCTAATGCCTTGGCAGGGCCAGACCAAACGATTTCTCGGGCCTTATTCGGCCCGTGGACTGGACGTTCCCCACCCCTGCTCTAAGGCATCTGGTCACCAAGAAAGTAGTCACTTGCGGGGAGGATGGGAGGCAAAACCAGGAAACTCTTGAAACCAGGGGAATAGCCCGAAGGGTTCATTTTGTGAATCGGTGTCATCAGCTTCCTGAAATATTAACAACCGGGAATCCAAGTGAAGCGTGCTCGTGCCATTCTTGTGTTTTTTTCTGTTGATCTGAAACTTTTTAAAATTAAAGGTCAAACAACCCCAGCAAGTTCTCTCCATCTTTTTGCTCCACAGTCACACAGTACAGAAATCTGTTGGGTCACACCTCATGATCACAGGACGGCTGCAACAGCTTCTATACCCAAAGCAGAAGAGTGGGTCCCTGCTCCGTGTCCTTCTTCAAAAGTGAGGCAAACATTTCTAGAATCTCCCCTCATGTCATTGGTCAGAAGTACACCACAAAAAACAAAACAAAACAAAACAGAAAAACGACGAACCCAACAAAAACAAACAGGAAGTGCATCACAGGTCCATGGCTAACCCACTCACTGGCTAGGGGGAACCAAGTAACCATGATTGGCTTAGACTCAAGCTTTAAACAACAGAGATGCACTACCTGGGACGGGGATGCCCACCCCATCCGACTCACATGCCACCAAGTGCTCCCCCAAAGGAAACCAAGAAGGTGGGGGGTGGCTCTTGGTCCGGAGTGAGGCCAGTACTGCCCTCCCCCGGGGGGCACATGACTCAGGCTGGTCAGCATCTGTGCTCCATCCCCTTGGGCACAGGCTGAGACGGGCAAGGGACCCAAGCCAGGCCAATGAGTCTGCCCTGGGATGTTGGTGGGGAGAGGTACCACTGTCTGGGAGGCAGCACAGCCGAGGCAGACACCGGAGCGTGCTGGATCGTCTCATGGGGGCGGCCATAGACCCCCTCACGCCTTAGCCGGGTGAGCTGAGTTTCTGTCACAGCCTCAAGTCTCCGCAAGTGCCATCTGCTGACTTTGTCGGTGACGGCCTGGCCTTGAACAGACACGGCACCTCCCAGCTGGGCATCTGCAGGCCATTTCGGGCTGCTCTGTGGCCAGCTCAGAGCTGGGCAGCCACTCCGCAGGAGGTGCTGGGAGGCCTGGAGGGGCTCAGGGTAGCAGGGCACAGGCACAGCCGCACCCCGGATGCCCGAAGGGGGGTGCCCCAGTATCTCACCCCAGCACCCAGAGGGTGGGGACTCTCAGCCTCTACCGAGAGGGGGCTGCAGCCTTCTGGAGTCAGCCACAAATTCAAATCCTGCCTCAGCTGATCTCCTTTCCAGACGTGCGCCCTTGTGAAAGTTAGCATCGCATTTCCAACCTGCATCCCCAAGACCTTCCTAAGAGCCCTGACTGGTTTGGCTCAGTGGACAGAGCGTCGGACTGAAACAAATCGCTACAAAGGGACACAGCGGCTTGGGCACGAGGCAGAGAACACCCTGGAGCTGGGACGGCCCACTTCGAGCGGGGAAGGCCGTGGGGCGTTTTGGGGAGATGAGGCTCAGCCAGGGGCTCTGCCGCCCGGGCCGCCTCGGACAGACACGAACCCACAGACACGCCCACTCGCACTTTATTAAGTCCGGGAGGACTAGTCACAACAGGGGTGGAGATGGCAGGGGAGGCCCAGCCCCCACCCCCACCATCACCGGCACATGATAATAAATAAATAAATAACAGGCGGGCACGGGGAGAGGTGGCACAGCAAACACTGACGGCACAGGGAGGGGCACCGGCGTCCCCACCCGAGGTGTGGCCACCATTAACACTGGACCACGGTCAGGGGAGGGCGGGCTCTGGGCTACAGAAGCCCGCAGAGCCACCGAGTGGCCCCTGGTTAGCAGTCTTGATGGGGGGGGGGGTGTCTTTAGTACGTGGACCTTATATCGACAGAAACCTGGACCCCCGGCTCATCCAGTCAGACCAAGATGGTCAGGAGACCACCGTCTCTGACGTCTGTTCTATCCGGGGCCTAAAAGACCAATGGGTCATTATTACCTGCACTACTGGTCGACCCAGGGTCTCGGGCAGTGATGGCGAACCTTTTGAGCTCGGCGTGTCAGCATTTTGAAAAACCCTAACTGAACTCTGGTGCCGCGTCACATATAGAAATTTTTTGATATCTGCAACCATAGTCAAACAAAGACTTATATTTTTGATATTTATTTTATATACTTAAATGCCATTTAACAAAGAAAAATCAACCAAAAAAATGAGTTTGCGTGTCACCTCTGACACGCGTGTCATAGGTTCGCCATCACTGGTCCAGGATATGAGAGGCCCGTTATCATTTAGCCTTAGGATCGGTCCAGTCAGGCTCCAGGACATCACAGGGTCACTGTTACCTAGGCTCCCAACTGGCCAACTCAGGACGCAACATCAATGAATCACTATGACTTAGCCTTCTGATTGGACCATTCAGGGCTCGGGACACTACGATTTATGGTTACCTAGACCTCTGATTGGCCAACAGGAACCCAAAGCCAGGACATGGGGAGCAGGTAGAGCTCTGGAGGCCCCAGGGAGAGGTGAGGAAGTTAAGAGCTCAGGGTTGGGGGAAATCTTCAGTGTCCATCAGGGCCCAGATTTCAACAAGGGGAAGTCACAGGAAATAAGGCCACCTTGGCTGGGTCATGCCAGGGCAAACCAGTGCGGCAAGGGCAGCAGCCAAGTGTGCTCAGCCACCCCTGGGGGTACAAGGGTCCTAAAACCTTCCCTGGGTCCCAGCCCTTACCAGGGTGTGGAAACTGGGGCCGGAGAGCCAGTGGCAATTAATGCAGCTCCTGGCCCGTCACCTCCATCTATGGGGTCAGGGTGGGGCAGGGGTGGGGCTGCGGTTACAGGTCAGGTGGGCTCAGTCCTCCAGCCCATCCATTAAGTCTGCGATGCTCTCCACATAGTAATGGGGCACCAGGTCATGCTGTCTGGCCGCCAGGTAGGCCTGGGCCTCCTCCAGGCGAGAGACGCCCGTGAGCGTGAGCACGGTGGTCATGCCACAGCGGTGGCCGAAGAGGATGTCGGTCTCCAGGCGGTCGCCCACCATGAGCATGCGGGCAGGGTCCAGGCTGAAGTGCTCCGTGATGCACTCGAACATGTAAGGGCTGGGCTTGCCCACCACCAGGGCCTGGCGTCCCGAGGCGGTCTCCACTGCAGCAGCCAGGCTCCCAGTGCCTGCAAGGAGACGGACTCGGTCAGTGTGGGGAGGCTGCCGGGGAGGAATCCAGGCCCTGGAACCGGAATCCGCAGGGGAGGCCGCTTGGCATGGGGGCACAATTAGGCATTGGAGCCCTGGTGAGGTGCTCAGTTGCTTAGAGTGTCGTCCTGATACGCCAAGGTTGCAGGTTCGATTTCTGGTCAGGGCATGTACAAGAATCAACCAATGAATGCACACATCAGTGGGACAAATCGATGTTTCTCTCTTTCTAAAATGAATTTAATAATTAGGCGCTGGCGTCAAAAGGCCTGCTTCCAATCTTAGTGTGGTGGTGAAGAGGCCAGGCTCTGCAACCGGAATTCAGGCTAATCTCCACCTTTCTCAGGCAGGCTGTTTCACCCGTGCCTCAGTTTCCCCCTTCCCTGATATGGCACTAATCTCCTGGGGGTATTGTAAGGAGTGAACGAGCCACTGCACGTAACAGAGGTTCGCCGTTTTACCCTGGCAGCTGTGTGCCTTCGGGCAAGCCGTCCGCCTCTCAGAGTTCCCTGGGACCTGCCGGAAAAGGAAGACCCACGTAACGCCTACCTTCAAAGAGGCGCTAACGCAGCCTCACGGGGCAAGTGCTCTGGAAGTGGAACAGCACTTCCCAAACAGTGGCTGTGGTTATGGCTACAGGAATGTGCGCTCCTGGCATCGGAAACGGGCGCAGCCCTTTTGGAACACAGCAGGGCACAGAACCACTCGCACCTCTGACCCAGTCAGCCTCCGCCGGGACAGCGGTCACAAGAAGAGAATTCAGGCTGGAGACAAAAAGCTACATGCCCGACGATGTCTGTGGCCGCAGTAACGAGAATACCCAAAACTGCGGGCCACGCCCAAGTGTTTAACAATAGGGGGACTGTTCAGAAAAGGACAGCCCCGACTCCTGGCCATCTGCCCCCCACAATGAGTCCACTGTGGCCGTCCCACAGGCACATCTTTGTGCCAGAATGTTCTGCCTTCACACTAATGTCCCTGAACAAATGATGATGATGATGACAGTAATTACAATTTACTAAGCGTATTTTAAAGTGCCCGGGGCTGGGCTGGTGCTCACGGAAGCCCATTTTACAGATGAGAAGGCTGATGCTCAGTGATGTTAAGTAACTGGTCCAGGGTTGCACAGCGTAAAAAGTGGCAGATAAATTGGGAGTCCCGGATGTTTCATTTTCAGGAATTCTGTCAGCTGGTGGTTAAACAAAGCCATTGTCTAAAGTCCACTTATATAAAGTTACAATAAAATGAATATGTTTAAAACAAAGGCAATTCTCAAAACACATCACCTCCTAATGATTTTACCATTATCTGTGCTCCTAACATGATTTATAGCTGTACCAATGGAAATACGATGTAATGGTGTGCACACATCTTCCCAATTCCATGTTCAGTGACTTCACATTGGTAGCTTGAAAATCTGCCATGGTGGGAGTATTCACCCCATGGACACTGGCAAGTGGTATAAATCAGGGTGCTGCAGCCCTAGCCGATTTGGCTCAGTGGATAGAGCGTTGGCCTGTGGACTGAAGGGTCCCAGGTTCGATTCTGGTCAGGCTCAATCCCCAGGAGGCAGCTGATCAATGATTCTCTCTCATCTTTGATGTTTTTCTCTCTCTCTCTCTCTCCCTTCCTCTCTGAAATCAGTAAAAAAAAATAAAATCAGGGCGCCCCAATTTACTACACATTATCAGTTGGTCTGACCCCAAGGCTCTGGCCTCCCACCTCCCTTCTCACAGTGAAGCCAAAGGCTCCGAGGGGTGAAGTGGCCCCAGACGAGGAGGAACTTCCCCTGCGTCACAGGACTGGGCACACTGGGAGGTGCTCCCTGACATCTGACTTAGAACCCGCCTGCTTGTTTTCATAAGAAGTGGGTAGGGAAGAAAAGCCATTTGCCCCCTGGGTGAGAGATTCCTTCTAGGATGGGAACGGCTCAGCTGAGTCACCCCAAACTATTTCTCTCGGCTCAAGAAAGTTCTCAGCTGCCGGCTTCTTCCTTTCCTACCAGGACAGAGCTGATCACCCTTGGTCCCCAGATCCCATTTCATCCACTCAGCTGAGCCCAACTATATACCAGGCACTGTGCTAGGCACTGGGACAGAGCCGTGGACACAACAAAGAGCCCTACCCTGGTGGAGCGGGCTTCCTAGCTGGGGAGTCTATGAACGTAATTCTGTCCTCAGACCACCATGATCCTCTTCTCTCAACATCCTATAATCCAAGACTGTCACATGTTTTGGTGGTGACGTATTCCTAAAACAGCAGGCATTTCTATTTGGCAGCTGGAGTGGCTGCCACATGGTTACAAGGAGACCTGCAGGGGGAGGAAGAATGGAGGTGAGAGATGGGCATTATTTCAGATTTTATGCACAACAGAGGCCTTCATTAATATTTACATACCACTGTCTCAAGGCTGCATCACCCAGTGTACAAACGTGACAGCAGCGCTGTATTTCTCGTCTCTGTTAAGCCTCTGCCTCCCCCTCTAGGCTGTGAGGATGACCAGCAAGGCACGGCCAAGTGGGTGTTGAGACGGAAGTGGCAGGCACGGGCAGGGCCTGGTCTCTTCCACGCCACCTTTCCTGAGTCCTGGGGGCCTCTTAACCCACAGCCTTACCCTGAGCTTTGAGGCCTCCGGGGAGAGATTCACTTTTCATAGCATGGCCTAGGGCCGGTGGGAGCTAATGGGGCGGGGGGCGTGGTGGTGGGGGGGACGGACGGAGAGGGGGGCTCACCTTGGATTTATGGGAAAACTGAGGCTGACGTGGCTATGCAGCAAGTAGGTGTGCAACAAAGCCAGGGCAGGTCTAGAACTACAGATGCCCAGCTTGGAACTGGTTCTGCCACGGCCCAGGCCCTAGTCCATGTTTCCTCCCCTAGCGCCGCCCTGTTCTGCAAGATGTCTCCTCTAGGAAGCCTTCCCAGACCCCTAAGCTCCAGGCCCTCCCTGCCACCCCATCATAACACACACCCTTGATGAGTACCACCCTTGCCCCGCCAGGATTTGGTATCAACTGCCTGGGTCAGTCACCAGCAAGGAGGAGGTGATGGGAGAGCTGTCCCTGCCCTCAGCCTACTGACTGACCGGGGTACTGACTTGTCCACACACTCACTACTATCAGTTAGCCTCCGCTACCATCCGCTCTTACCTAAGTGGAACCTTCCAAGATGCAGGACCCTGCGCCTGCTCCTGCCTCCCCTGCAGGTCTGAACACCCAGATGACAGCAGTGAAGAGCGCCTTGGATGGAGGGGGTGGGTGCTGGGTGGCCACAAGATCCAAGTTCTAGTTCCCTGAACTTCTGGGCAGCTCACTCCCCCTCTCTGAGCCTCAGTTCCTTTAACTGAGAAATGGAACAATAACCCCCATCTCCAGAATAATTTGGAAAGTAAATAAGAACAGATACGGAGATGCTGTGACATGACAGCTCTGGATACAACTTACATCATCTGAGCACCTATGCGCACAGATCAATATTCACTCCGATGAAACTGGCATGGTTAGCATTCCCACTTCACAGCCAGGAGAGACGCTCTGAGGTTATGTAACCGAAAAGATTACAGAGCCCTGGACTGGAGCTGGACTCAGGTCAAACTCCAACCACCTCCTGTGCTCCTGCACACCTGCCCCTGGACAGCGTGTCCCAACTCTCCCACAGCAAGACGATCCTCCCAGGTTTTGTCCTCAAATCTCCGACCTCACCCCAAAAGCGGGTCAGACAAAATGACAGGATTCCTTGGGGCTGGTTCAGGAAGGATAGGGCTGGGAGTAGGGGTACCTGGACTCCGTATCTGTCAAACGAGGACACCACTGCTGCCCCTCACCGTGTGGCAGCTGTAAGAATGACCAGACCTTGACACGAAAGCACCTTGGGCTCTTTCTGGGTGGTAGCTGCGCTAGCAATCCTCCAGTCCCCTGCCTGTCACCTGGAGACGCCCCTTCCCCGACCCTCACCTGCAGGCAGGGAGGTGAAAGCCCAGGTCGTCCACCCACCCTCGCGCTCACCAGGAGTCCGGCTGCCGTCGCTGAGCGGGTGCCACGGGTCGCGATCGGTGGCCACGAGCAGACAGTCGGGGTCGCGCAGGTGCGCGCACGCCTCGCGCAGCTTGGCGAAGGAAAAGTGCTCGTCGTAGCCCACGAGCACGGCACGTACGCGCGGGGCCGCGCCCGGGTCTTCGCCGGGGTCCCCGGCCAAGCGCAGCCCCGCAGCGCGCAGCTCGGAGCGCAGCCCCTCGCCACCCAGCACGAACACCGAGCCAGGCGCGTCCAGGCGCTGGCACAGCAAGCGCGCAGCGCACAGCGCGGAGCTGAAGAGCTGCTCGGCGTGCAGCCCCCCAAAGCCGAGGCGCGCGAAGCGGAGGGCCAGCTCCGGCCGCGCGCGCCGGCTGTTGTTGCTCACGAACAGCGCCGCCTTGCCGGCCCGCGCCAGCCGCTCCACCAGCTCCGGGGCGCCCGGCACAACGCGCTCGCCGTTCCAGAGCACCCCGTCGCAGTCGAACAGGACCCCCTGCGCCCGGCCCAGCACGTCGCGCAGGGCCGGGCCGCACAGCCGCTCGCAGCGCGCCATGCAGCCAGCTGGCTGCCCGCACGCCCGCGCCGCGCCGCTTTCCCTCCGCGGGCACGGTGCGCTCGCCCGCATCCCGCTAGCCCCTCGCACCTGCCAATAGGCGCGCAGGAAGGGCCAGGGGGTGGGGTTACGGCCTGGCCCGCGGCCAATAGAGGCGAAAGTTAAGGAGCGAGGCCGCGAGCAGACAGAGCTTGGAGAGAAGGGCACCAAGGGGTGGGAGACTGACGCTCTTCTTGGCCAATAACGAGTTAGAAGTAGAAAATGTGGCGCGAATAAGCCCTGCGCCCCTCAGCCAATCAGAAGCTTAGGGGAGCTGGTTGCTAAGAGGAAAACAGATGCTAAAGGAGATGATATCTTTGGTCAAATCTCCTTGCCCTCTGAACTGGGGATGCTCCAGGTCTGAGCGGGTGGGTAGGATGGCGAGAGAGACGCCTGGTGTCTTCTTGAGCGCTGGGGCCCTTGGCCTACACCAGTGATTCTTTAGGCTGGCTATACTGTAGAGTCGCCTGGAGCACTTATTATTTTTAGATATAATTTACCTACAGTAAGATGTATAGTTCTTATGTGTAAAGTTTGATGACTTTTGACAAATGCTTTTTAAAAATACCAATATGTGGTAGGAGCCCAGAGAGTCTGCTTTAATTGTTTGGGGGGTAGCCTGGCATGTTTGGTTTCTGTTTTAATTATCAAGGATTCTACTGTGAAGGGTGCAGAGGCTCTGGGCTAGAGGCAGGCTGTCACCAAGCACTCCAAGGAGGGGAAGGAGCCAGAGCAGCAGTGGCAGGCCCAGGGCAGTGATGGGGTGACCCAGCTGCCTAGGCCCCCGTCAGGGAGGGATGTCTGAGAAGGCTCTGAAGACCGGTTTCCCCTCCAGGATTAACGGGTGCTCCAAAGACCTGGGAAGAGCCACGTCCTATAACCTAACCAGATATTTCCTGTTCCCCAATGTCCTGGCCTTTGTCACAGGTGCATAGGTGTCTCCATGGCTTGGAATGTTCTTCCTTCTTCCCTGACTTTCCCACCTGGTCAGCCCTGGGAAGACTCCCCTTGGATATATCACTTCCTCTAGGAAGCTTTCCGTGACCTCCACCCTCCAGACACACACCAGTCCGGTTAGCTGGCTTGTGCCTAATTAGGCCAATGTGGGTTTCCAGTGTCGTGACACTTGATTCTAGTCATCAGTTCTGCCTGTCTGTTCCCAGGAGCAGCTAGGGCTGTGTCAGGGACCTCGCCCAGGTCTGGCAGGGCAGCCTCTGGGAAGGTTTGCAGACAGACCCATCCCTGCTCCTGGGGGAACCTCTCCACCTTCCCTAGGAGCACTGCAGATCCGGGACCTGGCATCAAGTGGGAGGGTGGTGCTCAGGCCTTCGCAGGCGTGTCTCATTTAGTCACCAAGACAACACTTCTGCGGTGGAAGCCGTCACCGGTCTCCCAGACGAGGAAACCAGAACACTGAGAAATTAAGTCCACTGCCCGGGATGTGAGGGGCAGGTCCAGGCTCTGGAATCAGTCAGACCTGGGTCCTAATCCCGGGTCCATGCCTCACGCACCGTGTGACCTCGGCAGGTCATGTTCTCAGCCTGTCTCCTCCCCTGTAAGAGGTCATGGGATTTACTGTCAGGGAGAGGGTTAAATGGAAACCATGCTCAGAAAAGCCGTGTGCAGCCCAGAGTACGTGCTGAAAAGCTCCAGCCATTATCCTTTCAGACAGGAAGAAGGAAAGGAGGCAAAGAATAGCTAAATTTCCCCTTTATGAAAGTGGCTTCTTTATTTCGAGTACAGAAAATAAAGCTATCTTTTGGGCAGCTGCTCCAGTTTTGTCCAAAATAATTTATTTACTTGCCTTACAAAAAAATATGTTGTCAAGAGAAAAAGATCAAAGTCCTAGTAGGAGCAGGCAAGCTCTCCTCCCTCCTGGTGGCTCCCCTGGGACCTTGCCAGAGAGTGGGGGGTGGGCTGAGCCCAAGCCCAGGTGGATCCGAGAGGAAAAGGACGGGAAGTGGAGGGCTGTCCTGAGCCCTCCTTGCCGTGGGGCCGACCCAGCGGGCACCGAGGCACTTTAGGCAAAGGCTGGAGGCCCCCACCTCTCGGGAGGGGTGAGGGCTCTGTCCTGGGAGGACAGGTTGGAAGGGAGGGGACACTGAGGGCTCTCGGGGAGGGGCCACCCGTTCAGTCGGTCTCTGAGGCAAGACTCCTGGGCCGAGGCTGAGGGGGCACCGCTGTGGGAGTGGGGGTGCCGTCCACAGCCTCAGGGCCGCCCCCATCCTCTGTGGCCTCCCCCAGGTCCGCCTGGGCAGGCATGCTCAGAGAGACCGGGCTGGGGGAGGCTGGACCTGGGGAGGTCTGGCTGGGGGAGGCTGGTGAACGCCGGCTCTGGCGCCGGACAGGCTGGGGGGGCATGGGGGGCAGTGGGGGTGGCACTGTGGGGGCCCGGAGGCTGCTGCCAACCAGACGGCGAGGCAGAGCCCGGGGGATCACAGGACTGCCAGAGGCAGGGGACAGGGATGGGGCTGGAGGGGAGGAGCGGGTGCTGGAGACCTGGGGCGGTGGCATGGTGGGCCGGGCTGGTGCTGGGCGTTTGGCTGTGGAGGAAGGAAAGGGGCAGTGAGGTGTCATATGCCTGTGGCAAAGCCTTCAGCTCGATCCCACCTCAGGACGTTTGCATCTGCTGCCCATTCTGCGGGAACACTGTGTGCATGCGGCTCCTCATCCACAAGCCTCTACAGGTCCTTCACTCCTCCAGCTAGAGAATCCCCCCCCCCCCCCCACCACCACCACATTTTCCAGTTCTATTTTCTTCACAGGGCTTTTTACTCTGTGAAATGATCTTGCCTGTTTTTTATTTTACTTGAATATTGCTCGCCTCCCCCACTAGAACGGACACTAAGTGCGGCCGTCGGATGCGTGGCTGCCTAGCACAGTGCCGGGCACAGAGCAGGTGTTCCACACCATCCTGTCGAATAAGGAAATGCTGCCTGGCCCGGACACTTGGGTCTTGCTCACTTCCGCTCAGAAGCCACCAGAACGACCCGCCCCAGCGCACAGACCCCACTGCGCAGGTCTGACGTCCCGCGGCAGCCAAAGCACTGGCTGGGCCAGGAGGTCTGGACTCTGGTCCTAGCTCTGCCTCCACCCACGGAGGGATTTGCACAAATCACTTGCCCCTGGGGCCTCAGTTGTCTCATCCGTAAGATGGGATGATTCCTCAACCTCCTAGGCCAGTGATGGCGAACCTATGACATGCGTGTCAGAGGTGACACGCGAACTCATTTTTTTGGTTGATTTCTCTTTGTTAAATGGCATTTAAATATACAAAATAAATATCAGAAATATAAATCTTGCCGAAACCGGTTTGGCTCAGCGGATAGAGCGTCGGCCTGCGGACTGAGGGGTCCTGGGTTCGATTCCGGTCAAGGGCATGTACCTGGGTTGCGGGCACATCCCCAGTAGGAGATGTGCAGGAGGCAGCTGATCGGTGTTTCTCTCTCATCGATGTTTCTGACTCTCTGTCTCTCTCCCTTCCTCTCTGTAAAAAATCAATAAAATATATTAAAAAAATATATATAAATCTTTGTTTTACTATGGTTGCAAATATCAAAAAATTTCTATATGTGCCCTGACTGGTTTGGCTCAGTGGATAAGAGTTGGCCTGCGGACTCAAGGGTCCCGGGTTTGATTCCAGTCAAGGGCATGTACCTTGGTTGCGGGCACATCCCCAGTGGGGGGTATGCAGGAGGCAGCTGATCGATGTTTCTCTCTCATCGATATTTCTAACTCTCTATCCCTCTCTCTTCCTTTCTGTAAAAAATCAATAAAATATATTTTTAAAAAATTTCTATATGTGACACGGCACCAGAGTTAAGTTAGGGTTTTTCAAAATGCTGACACGCCGAGCTCAAAGGTTCGCCATCACTGTCCTAGGCTGACGTGAGGGCCAGCTCAGGTGATGCTGACAGTCCTCTGGCTTGTGCTCCAATGAGCAAATATCTCATTGCCCCGCCTCCAGGAAAGGTGGCTAGACGCCCGCCTCCTGCAGGGAGGTTCCTGTGTGACCAGCCGCTCCTGCTGGTCTGGAGGCTCTGCAGCTGCTCCACCTACTCCCGGCTCTACACTGTACCCCCGTGGAAAACTCTAGAACCTCCTGGGCTGGGCAGGGCCTCACAAGACTCTGCACCTGAACCTCACCTGCCTGGCTTTCAGCCAACTCAACAGGTGCGTGTCCCAAAGGGCTCAGAAGGAGGCCCGGGTCTCCTCCCACACCAGCACTCCCCCTTCACTGCGCTGAACACTGTTCTCCCTCTTCACCCTGTGACTGTGGGCTTCTTCAGGACCCCGCTGCCCCCCATGCTCACGATGGCCGACCTTTATGGAGTATTTACTGCGTGAACCAGGCTGCAGAATTTAATTCTCCAAACAGCCCTACAAGGTAGGGCAGTTATTGTCCACGGAGGCGCAGGGAGCTGGAGTCATTTGCTCAAGGTCACCGAGCTGGATTCTGAACCCGGCGTGTTAGGCAACAGACTGGCTCTGAGCCCCCTGGCCTCCTGGCCTCCCCTCGATGCCTGAAAACATGGGACGGTCTGGATTGCCCACCCCTGGCCACCCTCTGACCCCTGCTCCTCCCACGGCCAACTCACTCCTCCGAGCCATGTCCTCCGCTGGGGCCGCTGCCTCCGGAGGGCTCCTGCTGACCTTAGGGGAGGCCGGTCTGGGGGGAACCTCGGACTCTGTCCTGTGAGGGAAGAGGAGGGTCAGGCGCAGGCTTGGCCATTTCCCAGCTTCTCCTGGAACCTCAGGAAGACGCCCAGCCCACGGGCCGAGTTTGGGTCCTCCCGTGGCTGGGTCTGGGACCCGTCCCCAGGCCGCCCCTGCCCCTGCCCCTGCCCCCGACACCTCTGGCGTTGGGCAGGGTTTGCATCCAGAGCCCCTGGCCGCTGTGCGACTCTGCGCAGTGTCCGTGGTCCCCTATGGGGCCAGGAGCGGGGGAGGAAGCAGGGCCT